CAGCTGTTCCGTCATGCTATAAGACTCTTCAGCAGTGCGTACCTATGATCCGCCAGGAATCGAACCCGTGACCTCCAGGTTCCGTGACCAGCACGTTACCACTGGGTCGAAATCCAATGGCTCATATTTCCAAATTCTGTCCAGTGCTCTCAGGTTTCCAATGTTTCTCCAACTAATATCAGTCCACGATGAATACCAACTTGACAAATCCCTAAATCCACCAAATTCAATTGAACTAGTGTTCATAGGTGGTGACTAGCTTCAACAGATGATTCCTGAAGTTCTTATGAGAAGTCGTGACCGATGGGGCAAACCTGGTGGATATGTGGACAAATACTCAATGATGATATTGGGTAATGGTTGCGTTATGTCGTGAACTGACAGAAGTTGGAAATATGGACCATTGGATTCCTGCGTAGTGGATTAATGGTAACGTTAACCTAACTGGTTAACTGGTTCACTAGTTACTAGCCGGTCCTAAGCCCGGGTAAAGAGGGAAGGTTGGGCATAGGGCTAGCAACCCTACCCCGTAAAACAAATCTAACCGCTAAAGAAACTTCAAAGCACAAACAAAATATAAAAAATGAAAACAAACTTATTCCCCGCTGGAATCGGAGAGGCGAAATGACGCCAGTTGGTGAAAGCCTTCGGGAAGCCAATAGGCCGATGTGTCTTCTCTCGATGAAAGCGAAAGTAAACGTGGGGACATGGAATGTCCGCACGATGTTTGAACCCAGTAAGGCAGCCCAGATTGCAAAGGAGATGAGAAGGTATCACATCGAAGTGCTTGGGATTTGCGAAAGCAGATGGAATGGGAGTGGACTCTCCAAACTGTCAACTGGAGAATCAATAATCTACTCCGGTCACCCAGATGACAACCACGAGCACACTGAGGGAGTGGCTATCATGATGTCCTCAAGAGCATCGAAGGCTCTCATGCAGTGGCAACCAATCTCCTCCAGGATCATGACAGCAAGATTCAACTCAAAAGGAAGAACGGTCACAATCATACAATGTTATGCACCTACAAATAATGCAGAGCAAGAGAAAAAGGAGGATTTCTACAGACAACTTCAATCAACACTGGACAAGACACCTCTCAAGTTGGCGATATCAAAATTCTAATGGGCGACATGAATGCCAAACTGGGAGCGGACAACACAGGAAGAGAACTAACCATCGGTCGAGAGGCGCTAGGTGAAATGAATGAGAATGGAGAATTGTTTGCAGAATTCTGCGCATTCAACGATTTGGTGATTGGAGGCAGTGTGTTCAGGCACAAAGATATCCACAAAGCCACATGGATTTCACCAGATGGACACACTAAAAACCAAATCGACTTTATCTCAATCTCAAGAAAGTGGAGACGCAGTCTACTTAACACAAGGTCAAGAAGAGGAGCAGATGTAGGTTCAGACCACTCACTATCAAGTGCAAGGAACCTTCCAAATCAAGTTGAATGCCCTCAAGGAAGCTGGTGATAGACCTCAATTCAAGTACAACACTCGGAAACTGAAGGATGAAACTACAAAGGAGATCTTCACAGCAGCCAGCAATCAAGACAAAATGGGAGATATTGAGCAACATCCCTGAAGAAACCTGTGTGGAAGAACACTGGAAGTCCTTGAAAGCTATGTGGAAAGAAACCTGCACAACAGTATTAGGAAGGAAGAAGAAAGAAGACAAGGAATGGATCTCGACGGATACCTGGAAGCTGATAGAGGAGAGGAGGATGGTGAAGCAGAAGATAAACCAGCACAGGCAAGGATGCTCAACGACAAGAGGAACTGAGCACAATGTATAAAACACTGAACAAAGAAGTAAAGAAGAGTGCACGCAAAGACAAAAGACACTTCTACGAAACACTGGCAAGTGAAGCAGAACAGGCTGCAGGTAAGAGAGACCTGACGACATTGTATCAAATAACCAGGTTGCTATCAGGGAAGAGACCAACACAGATGAAACCAATAAAAGATGAAGAAGGAAATTTAATTACAAAAGAAGAGAAACAGAGGAAACGATGGGCCGACCACTTCAAGAAGCTCTTGAATCGACCACCACCTGCACTTCGTCCACAAATACCACCTGCAGTCGCTGAATTACAAGTGAACATAAATCCCCCAACGAAAATGGAAGTCCTGAACACCATAAAACTACTGAAATGTGGGAAAGCAGCAGGACCAGATGGGATCTCGCCAGAAGCACTGAGAACAGACGCAGGAACAACAGCGGACATGCTCACACCACACCACTATTGCAGAAGGTGTGGAAGGAAGAGAAGGTACCTGGTGATTGGAAGAAGGGTTACCTTGTCAAACTGCCGAAGAAAGGAGACCTCAGTGCTTGCAAGAACTGGCGCGGAATCACTCTCCTGTCCACCCAGAGCAAGCAAAATATTAGGCCGCATCATCCTAGAGAGGCTTAAAGATGCACTGGATTCAAAACTGCGACCGGAACCGGCTGGCTGGCTTCAGGAAGTACAAATCATGTGCAGACCAAATTGCAACGCCACACTACGCATCATCATAGAGCAGAGCATAGAATGGCAATCAGCTCTCTACCTCAACTTTATCGACTTTGAGAAGGCCTTTGACAGCGTCGACCGAGAAGTAATTTGGAAACTGCTTCAATACTACGGAGTACCGCAAACCTTTATCCGCCTCATTCAACAACTATATGAAGATGCCACATGCCGGCCAAGTAATTCACAATGGTAAGCTCAGTGATGCTTTTGAAGTGAAGACAGAAGTAGGAGTGAAACAAGGTTGCCTACTATCCCCCATGATATTCCTGATTGTGGTCGACTGGATCATGCAGCAAACAGTGTGGAGCGAGAAGAGGGGGATACGCTGGACCACGGAAAAGAACCTAGAAGACTTGGATTTCGCCGATGACTTGTGCCTAATGTCACATAAACTTGAAGATCTGCAGGCGAAAACTAACAAGTTGATAGAAGAGGCAGCGAAGACGGGACTTCAAGTGAATATAGAGAAGACAGAGGTGATGAAGATACCGCACCACCGCCATCAATAACAACAACAACAAACTCCAGTCACCATCAACGGGAGAAACTTAAAGCAAGTAACCTCCTTCACTTATCTAGGAAGCACTGTTTCAACTACAGGCGGGACGGACGAGGACGTCAAAGTCAGAATCGGAAAGGCAAGACAGGCGTTCATTAGCCTGAAACCAGTGTGGAGATCTTCTGCACTCAGCACAACGAACAAGATACGGATTTTCAACACCAATGCCAAGTCAGTGCTTCTGTATGGCTCGGAGACTTGGCGCGTCACGAAAGGCATTTCCAATAAACTACAGAAATTCATCAACAACTGCCTACTCTGGCTCGTTACTGAAGATCAGTTGGATTGCCAGAAAGAATGAGCAACGAGGAGCTCTGGGAACGAACCAACCAAGAACCTATCGCTCAACAAATATGCACTGGAAGGAAGTGGAGATGGATTGGCCATGCACTGAGAAGGCCGACTGAGGACATCACGCGTCAGGCCAGTCACTCGAGTGGAATCCCCATGGGAAGCGACGAGTTGGACGTCCGTGGTGAGGGTGACATGGAGGAGGTCGTGCGAGGAGGAAACGAGAGGTTGTGGGCTGTCGTGGAACCAGGTTCAAAAGATCTCAGAGAACAGGATGAAATGGAGACGTGCTACTGAAGCCCTATGTTCCACTAGGAACCCAAGGGACTAGTAATAATAATAATACTCACCATGGAACCTGAAGGTTGTGGGTTCGATACCTGGTGGTGTGATAAGGTCATGGGTGCTCACTACTGATGAGACCCATACTATGAGGAAACAGCTGATGTCCAGTTCTCCCAGGTTCCCAATATTCCTCCAACTGATGTCAGTCCACGATGAATACCAACTCGATGAAGTAGAATTGGGCTAGAGAAGGAGGTTGTGGATGGCCAGTCGATTAAATCTTTCATCTGGTAAATCGTACTCAGCGATAGTAGCTACCTACACACAGAATGATGGATAAGCGTTACTTTCTATTCAAAAAGTTTTCACAATTGGACTGGCTCAAGTCGCCACATTCCATAGTAGTATGCAAAGGTGTATAGGAGAAAAAGAGATTTGAAGATAAAGGTTAGTGGAAATATTCAACCTTTGGAAGACGTCAAAGGGTGAATACATCTGTGCCATTGTGATCAATTTTCAGCCACGTGACCAAGAGTCCTCTCAACTACTGATTCTTATCACCTCAACGAAGTAAATAGACGCAGGAAATAGGTATGCTTACAATAATATATAGTAAGGATTGAAAGTGAAATATGTTATATTTATATTTGTCAGACATGCATACCAAAACCAATTGGTAATTATAATCAAATACCCATCAAAATAAACTCATACTCCATAAGGAACAAGTGAATATCATTCGATAATGTCAACAACAATAAATAAAAGCCACTCAAAATGTTGACAAACGCAACATTCGCTAATATGTCTCTTGTATCCAGTTGGTGGAAAGAATAAGCAACAAGGAACTCTGGCTGGCTAACTGGCAACTAACCAACCAAGAACCTATCGCTCAACAAATATGCAGAAGGAAGTGGAGATGGATTGGACATACACTGAGAAGACTATTCGGGAACATCACGCACCAGGCCAGGCACTCGAGTGGAACCCAGATGGGAAATGATGAGTTGGGGTCTGAGGTGAAGGTGATATAGGATGTGAGGAAGAAATGAGAGCTTCTGGACTGTCATGAAACCAGGTTCAAAAGTTTGCAGAGAACAGAGTGCACTGGAGACGTGCTACTGAAGCCCTATATTCCATTACGAACCCAAGGGACCTATGTGTACTTACATTGCTGCGTATTCTATTACATGAACGAAGACATACAAATTGCTCAGGTATGAAAATACAGAGTTCTTTTAGCTTAAACAGAGAGAAAAGATCCAAACAGCTAAACCACATCAACAAGCATTGAAAACTTATGCATAAAAAAATGAAAATTAAAAGTTAAATACAATTTACCTGAGTTGTAATCGCTGGAACTGGTTTATAACCAGCTAGAGCAGCGGCTAAATCAGCAAAACCATAGCGTAAAGCTAATTCAAAAGGCATTTCAGCTTCAGCATTTCGTGCCCATGGAGCTGCATGATAACGTAGGAGACAATTTACACAATCTGCATGACCTAGCATAGCAGCTTCATGAAGTGCTGTATTCCCAGAAAATGGACATTTAATTTGTGGATTAGCCCGACCAACACGTAGAAGTGTTTCAGCGACATGTGCAAAACTTTTTTGACAAGCACGATGTAATGCCGTGAATCCACCACAATCTCTTAAATTTACAGATGCATTATGTTCTAGCAAAAGCTAAACACAAGAGACAGATAGAGAAAGAGACAGTGAGAATTAAATCATAATAAAAATCTAATTAAACAAATAGTATAAAGAGAAACCGCACAAGTCAGGTGTGGAGTTTTAGGGAGAAGAGGTAAATCTGTTGACGAGGTTATGAACCTTCATCTACTGAGATGGATGGTTGGGACATGTGTTACGTATGCCTAGTCACCGATTGTCTCGTCACACAATGTTGGCCGAAGAAGGTTCAGGCTGGAAAAAGGCTCGAAGCAGCCACACTAAAACTTCGGCACCAACGTATGAAGTCTCTGACTGTCGGTTTGAACCATGTAGGGGAGCGATGCAGACTGGGTAGTTAGGGTCGGTGGGACAAGAGGAGCCAGTGGTTGGAGACAGACTCTAAGCGATATGGCTCATATGTATACATACATTATCCTCATCTTAACGACGCCATACCGAATGTCATCACTTTCTCATTCTTCCCTTCTCTCTTTTAGTACTTTATATTTCCTTTGACTGGATTTTTTTTTCTTCATCTTCCACTTTACTGCTTTTCTACTTGACGTACTGATATGAGGTGTGGAAATTCGAATCGTTACGCAGTAATACCTGGTCCTACGTTGATAGATGATGTTGATGACAAACCAGAGAACATTTACACTATATAGTAAACACATACAAGTCAGTGAGAACCATCTATGGGTCAAATTCTGAATTCATAACAGCTGTCAAAAATGTATACATACAGTAAATTTTGGAACAAACACTAAATTCCTTGTGACCTTTGGCCTATCTGTAGTTGACTATTCATTACAAGTTGGTATTCATCATAAATTGACATCAGTTGGAGCGACATTGGAGACCTATGAGCACTGGATAGCAGTTGATTCGTCGTAGTATGGGACCCCTCAGCAGAGTGCGCCCATGTCCCCACACACTAGGGATCGAACCCAGGACCTGCAGGTTCCGTGGTCATCACGTTACCCTTGGTCCTCTGGGTCAGAATCCAATGAACCATATTCCCAGTGGCTCGATGGTAATGTACTGGCCATGGAACCTGAAAATTCTAAGTCCGACGCCCGGTGGGGACAAGGGTGCACACCGCTGAGGAGTCTCATACTAGGATGAAACAGCTGACGCCCAATGCTCACAGGTCTCCAACGTTCTTTCGACTGATATCAGTCCATGATGAATACCAACTTGAAATCAATAAATCCCCACAACCCCCGCCCCCTCAGACAGACTATTTATTAGTTGATGAACACATCACAGTTATTGTTATCTCTGTTGCATCTTTGTTTTTGGCATAAATGGTGGTTTGTTTTGTTATGGCATGCATATATAGAACCCAGTTAGTCTACCAGAAGTTCTGTCTTCTGATATCGGTTCAGTCGAGAATGGTAGTCTCTTTTGAAGTATAGTGAACCAATGGTAATCATTCCAACCGCAAGTCAATATAACATCTACGTGTACCAGTATGCATCGGATCAGAATTCATAATAATATCACCAAATACGGTGAAATCAAAGTAGCTCAAGTGGGAACCATGATAAATCAGTGTTGTGACTCATTGTTAAGCGCTCGATATGAACTTCACACTACGCTTGGATGGAAACATGATAATGAACCTTGGAGTACCGTACAACGAAATCCAAGCTTAGCTAGTAACAAGAAGGACGAGAATGCGAGGGCAAATCAAACGCGTTTATAACTGTATATGAAGGCCGACCGATGATACTGAATTACTATCGCACTGTGTCACGAATCAAGAAAAGGAGGTAAACCGCTGATAGGATTTAAAACCAGTGATTCAAGGGCAACAGGCTTCCTTAAGATACCTAACAGTCATGAGTTCGATCTCTTGCTAAGGAGTTCTAACCAAGGCCTAAGCAACTGTCCACAGTTCCCCGTTTTCAATCCTTCTCCAACTAATGACAATCGATGATCAGAACTACCATGGGATATACACACATTTATACGTATATTTAAATATATAAATATAAATAAATATATAAACCCGACCGATAGCTGCTACCTTGACGTGGTGGTCGGGCTTGCATATCACAATGACCCGACGAGATGTGCTGGTGGAACACTTGTTCCCTCGAGGTCCTACCATACCAGAAAGGTCTGTTGGGTAGTGGTTAGACGAAAAGCAGTTACCGTTATAGTGTAAATTGCTACACTATGATGGGGGTCTGAGGGCGAAGTCGTACTGCTGCTAGCTGGATGGGGTGTGACAGCAGTAAGGTGTTTCCCTTGGATGACCAGCAGTGCCAAGCTGATGCTGCCTTCTCAGTGGAAGGGGGGGGTTAGAAAAGGTCGGCCCCGAGAATAACACACTCCACCATGCCCCACGGTCTGCCGGACTGCCAGTGTTGGTTCACTTGTCGTTTCCTTTCGACCATCCGGCCCCAAAAATACAAAAGTTCAAAATAATCATACTCAAAAGGCTTCGTGTGACAGGCCTCAAGCAGATGTCCGATGGGCTCTGCAGTCACACAAATCTCTTTCAGGTACCTCAAGAAGAAATAGCCTTCCACGGTGTGGGCAGCCGGGAAGTGTTAACCGCCCTCACAACTCTGTCAGCACCCAAGTTTCTTCTGACTGCTATCCTCCTCCTCCATCATTACCTTCTAATCTTCCTTCACGTATATTTAAAAACTATACCTCTACTCAATCCACAGTAAAATTCACAATTCTCAGCTATGAAGTGAAAACAATCTGAAACAACCATTAGGTGTTAAACTTACTCGAACAATATCATTGGAGCCTGTTTTAGCCGCTTCAATGAGTGGAGTAGCACCACTATCAGCTGATTTTTCATTTACATAGTCCGATAAACTGATCACTCCCATAGAAGTAACACGTGTGAAAAGGTCACGAACACCCTGCGACAAAAAAAATAAAGAGAAAACAGAACAGGATAAAGGATAAGTTATCTGCCTGATACACTAAGCACACAATGAACATGCTGGTTAGGATTCGAAATCAAGCAGGTTATCCAACTGAATTATTAAGCACTCATGTGAGTAATACAAACGGCGATGCATAAAAGTAGTGCGGAGCCATTTACTTGGTGATGGCTATCAACTGTGCCCCAGTATATAAGACTGCTGTTTGAACCAACGGATGCTGGGTTAGAGTCTCAGTGGGGTGCAGGTACATGCAGCTGACGAGTCCCAAATAGGACGAAATGTGCATTCTAGTGCCAGGCACCAATCAAATAAATTACAACATGACCAATAATCAGGCAATATCGAAGCATCCACTTGGGAGCCTATATGGCAACAGAAGTCGATCAATTCAACCCAGAATAACAACGAGAAATGACAAGTATCGATAAATATTAATGTGGAATTAGAAGACTGAATAGTGAACCAGTCTGAGTTGTTATGCTATTTTCAAACATAATGGAAGGAAATCAACACAGTATTGAGGATAATAACTATAATATTCATAAGGTGTTATAGTAAGAGAACGTCATATATTCCAAGTGGATTTAATACGCATACTTAACTGACAGCTAACTTCGTAAGGTAAGATGCGCTGACTCCAACACGGGACAAATAAAGAGAAGACTGAAGTGGGTGGGAGAATTCATCCCTCCGAGAACAATAATAATCACTTGATCCAAACACAAGTGTGTGTGTGTGTACACATATGACATATGACCTTGACCAGAAACTGAGACATTGACATGGTAAAAGTAAGTATTAACCAATCAGTGAATTACCTTGAAAATGGTGGCAAAAAAATAAAACACTGGCTACATGCAGTAACAAATGGCGTGAAAATGACAGTTTAAAAAAATGTGTAGATTAATAAACAATATTTTCTGCAAAACTAGGGCCTTCCAAAAGAGGATTAAAAAGTCAACAAATAAGACTGAATAGTAAGGTAAGGTATATTAACAATGCATAGCAAGGCACAAATGGATACGTATGTATGTATACATAATATCGACTCGATGCCATAAAATTTAGCAGTCAACTGATAATTGATTCTTGTCAGATGGTACTGTAATTTATTGGAATAGATAATCAATCAATTGATGATGGCTTCGAATCTCGCTCCAACTATAGAAGGTTAGAATATATTATTATTATATTTATTATTTGTCCCTTGGGTTCCCAATGGAACATAGGGCTTCAGTAGCACGTCTCACTACCACTCCCCTCTCTGCAAACTTTTGAACCTGGCTCCACGACTGCCTACAAGCTCTCATTTCATCCTCACACGATCTCGTCCATGTCACCGTCGCCTCGGACGCCCAACTCGTCGCATCCTATCTGGTGTTCCACTCGAGTGACTGGTCTGGTGCGTGATGTCCCCAGTCGGCCTTCTCAGTGTATGCTCAATCCATCTCCACTTCCTTCCAGTGCATATTTGTTGAGCGATAGGTTCTTGGTTGGTTTGTTGCCAGAGTTCCTTCTTGCTTATTCTTTCTGGCCATCTGATCTGATCTTCAGTAATGAGCGTAGGCAGCTGTTGATGAATGTCTGTAGTTTGTTTAAAATCCCTTTCGTAACGCGCCTAGTCTGTGAACTATACAGAAGTACTGACTTGACTGAATTGGTGTTGAAAATCCGGATCTTGTTCATGCCTTATGCTGAGTGCAGAAGATCTCCACACTGATTTCAGGCTAATGAACGCCTGTCTTGCTTTTCCGACCCTGACTTTGACATCCTCGTCTGTGCCGCCTGTGTTTGAAACAGTGCCGTCTAGCCAGGTAGGTAAAAGAGGCTACTTCCTTTAACTTCCTCCCGTTGATGGTGATTGGTGCTTGTTGTTGTTGGTTGGGTATCATCATCACCTCTGTCTCCTCTACATTCACTTAAAGACCCGTCTTCGCTGCCCTGACTCTTCTGTCAACTTGTTAGTGTTTGTCTGTAGATCTTCAAATTTTGTGACATTAGACATAAGTCATCGGCGAAATCTAAATCTTCTAGGTTCTTTTCCGTGGTCCAGCATATTCCCCTCTTCTCGCTCCTCACTGTTTGTTGCAATCAAGAATATCATGGATGATAGTAGACAGCCTTGTTTTACTCATAGAATAGGTAAGTATTATTTTACTAACTTTCGAACGAATGATGCAACTTATAACCAAGTATGAATCACTTCTGCTTGGAGCAATTTTATCCAGTAAACTAGAAGTTTCAATCTAAACTAATCTGTTAAATCAATGAACTGGCAGTATTTCTCGGTTTAAAAAATACTCCTATTCTAACTAGTACAATGTGTCGGGTCACTCTATCTGATACATGTAAGAATCACCTTCACTAGTGAATATTTACAGTTAGCCTAATTAAGCGATTTACCCTATTTAATCATATCTAACCTCAATATTCTTCACTTTAATATTACCAATGCCTTGAAGAAATAAACAATCAGAAATATGTTACACCTTGACGTTGTGGTCTTTCAAACGTGATGAAGTAAGAGACAGAGGATCATGGTTTTATAACCTGTTCTTAATCGATGGCATAGGCTAACAGAGAAAAATGAGTCCTCTGTATACATCATGAAAGCTGATAAAACTATCTACATACGTGCAGTAGCCAATACACAACTATTTTACTCCTCCACTATAGGATATTGATAAAGCCTAGTTTGTGTACATATAACTCTAAAAGTTATAACAGCTAAACAACAACAAGAAGAAGAAGCAGAGTATCTCATAATTAATTTAAACAAAAGAAGCCAAAAAGACGGAACAACATAGAATCTGACGAAAAAACTGCACAGATTCCTAAAAAATGAAACCAACATCTACTCAGCAATCTTGGTGCAGCATATTGGGTACATTAGGTAATGACACACAACCTATTGTATAACGGTTAATGATACTACTACTTGGTCGCCCAAACCTCAGTAGGTAGAGTGGGTGTTCGAACCTGTGACCTATTGAAAGTCAACAGATTCCAAGGTACTACACATCACTAATACAGGAAAGAAGGATGAGCACAAACTGAAAACGAAAAAAGTATGGTGTACAACTATGTAAGGATTTATAGAAAGGTGGTGAATGAACACATTCACGTCAGGGTTTGTGGGGATTTATTGATTTCAGGTTGCAATTCATCACAGACTGACATCAGTTGGAGGAATATTGGGAACCTGGGAGAACTGGACATCAGCTGTTTCCTCATAGTATGGGTCTCCTCAGTCGTGAGCACCCATGACCTCATCGCACCACCAGGTATCGAACCCACAACCTTCAGGTTCCGTGGTCAGCACGTTACTATTGAGCCACTAGGTAGGAATCCAGCGGTCCATATTTCCAACTTCTGTCAGTTCACGACATAACGCAACCATTACCCAATGTCATCATTGAGTATTTGTCCACACATCCACCAGGTTTGCCCCATCGGTCACGACTTCTCATAAGAACTTCAGGAACCATCTGTCGAAACTAGTCACCTATGAACACTAGTTCAATTGAATTTGGTGGATTTAGGGATTTGTCAAGTTAGTATTCATAGATTTTCATCTACGTAATATAAAGTTATCAACCTTTAATTTCTGATATTTTGAGAATAGTGATTGAGGCAGACTGAATATCTCAATACTCTTACACCATCACTCAGTGTAACCCCTTATGCACTAGTGAAATAACTCAATCAGCTTGACTCCCAGTTTATTCCCCACCTAAGTCTACATCAATCACCATCAGACTTTAGGGTGATGGTAGTTCAATTTATGTAATTGTTGTTGAAGATAGAAATGCAAGCTAACAAATACTGGTAAGAGATCACTGGTTTCCTAGTGACTTTCATTGTATTCTTGATAAATTTATATGGCTTGAAAACTAGTTTGCAGTTACACAATATCGGTTGGATTATCACACAATCATCATTAAAATCAACATAGGACCAGGCATTAATGTACAACGGTCCAAGTTGCCACACCTCATCTCATATCAGCACATCAAGTAACAAGGCAATAAAATGAAAGATGAAGAAGGAAAGAAAACTAGGTTAAAGGAAGTAGAAGTAGAAAGTAGTAAACGAGAGGAGGGGAGAATGAGAAAGTGATGACATTCAGTATGGCGTCGTTAAGATGAGGATAATGTGTATACATATGAGCCATATCGCTTAGTCTGTCTCCAACCACTAGTTTATCTTGTCCCGCCAACCCCAACCACACAGTCTGCATCACCCCACATAGCTGAAACCGACAGTCAGAGACTTCATACATTGATGCCATGTTTTAATCTAGTTGAGAGCCAAGAGTCTTCTCCCAGCCTGAACCGACTTCGGCCAACATTGTGTGACGAGGCAGACGGTGACTAGGTATACATGACACATGTCCCAACCATCCATCTCAGTCGATGAAGGTTCATAACCTCGTCAATAGATTTACCTCTTCTCCCTAAAACCACACCTGACTTCTGAGTTACTCATGTGGTGATATACCACGAAACACGGTCTATGCAGCGAGAGCAATAGTGGTCAAACACCTGGAGCCTTGTCATCTACCTTTAATGGCTATACTTCACAGCCATACAGTAGAACAGAGCGGACTGTAGCACAGTGCACTCGATCCTTAATAGACGACCTGATATCACGTCAGCACCGCAGATGGCGTAAGTCAGCAAAAGCTAACCAAGCCCGCTGTACCCATGTTAAGATTTCGTTGACCGACAATCAACGCTCCAAGGTTGGTCCGACTTGCAAGGTAAGTGAAATCTTCAACGTGCTCAACCACTTCACTCTGTTGTCAGTTGGGGTACCGTTGAAGACCAGTCCTGAAGCAACAATTGACATTTAAATGTTAAGAAACGCATCCCAAACATTCTCAAATTGCTCTTTAAGGTGTCCACAAAAAACTGCGGCATCTTGTCAAAATCTTCATCTCACAGGGTTATGTCATCCTTGCGTTCTAGATCTACCAAGGATTATTCAGTGATTAGATCAATCTCTGTGACGTTGGATGACGAGAGGGAAATGTCCATAAGAACCTAATACTTATTTTAATCGCATTGCATATATGATAATCAGTTCATGGTCAGTTTTCGAATGTCATTCAGTTTTGATTTTTAAAGAAAAAACATAAATCCAATGTATCGAAAGTATCATCAATCAATCTAGCTGTACTTCTTGACAGACACATTCAATTAAAACTGTATTCATTTCACATGGACTATTTTTATCTGCGCAGTCTATGTGTCTATGACAGAATATCTAAGTAGACAATAAACCTTCTGAAAACCGACAACTTTTTCTATGAGCCATGAATGTAATCACGACAACTTCTGCAATTAGCCTGTTGTCACCTAGGGTTGATTTCTTTCCCATTATAGCCATCACCATATGCAATTTCATACACTAGGCAATGTGTCAAATATATTGTATTAGGGTTTATAATACTATATGATTGGATAAGTTTCACTAGGTGAAGCGACACTTAAACTTATCGGTCAACGATTCAAAACCAATTCCTACACCAATAAATTAAAAGTACATTATACAACGAGGCAGATATTGAACCATCAACTGACAAAGGTGACAGTTGAAATAATCATTTAGCAAGCTAAAGTTTATTGGTTCACTCATTCAGATGAGCAAAATGATGAACAAACTACCTTTTTTTCATATCTTCCTCACTGACAAGATGCAGAGTCTTCTGAACACTTTGAGTAGCAAATTGAGAATGTTTAAGGATGCGTTTCTCACCACGCAAATGCAAACTGTTGCTCCACGATTAGTCTTCAATGGTGCCATGGCTAGCAGCATAGGGGAGTGGAATCAGCCCTGCTCTGGTGACTCAATGGCCAATGAAATATCTGCACGGATGCTAAAGCTTCGACTGGCTTTCACCAACTTACGCCAACTATGGCTCCGCCGAGGTATCCGATTGTCTATTAAGGGTCGCGTGTACTGAAGCTGCACAGCAGTCCACTCTGTTCTACTCCATGGCAATGAAACATGGCCATCGAAGGTGGCAGACACGAGAAGGCTTCAGGTGTTTAACCACCGTTGCCTTCGTGGCATACTGTATTCCGCGGTGTCACCACATGGGTAATGCAGAAGTCAGGTGTGGTTTTAGGGAGAAGAGGTAAATCTATTGACGAGGTTATGAACCTTCATCGACTGAGATGGATGGTTGGGACATGTGTTACGTATGCCTAGTCACCGATTGTCTCGTCACACAATGTTGGCCGAAGTCGGTTCGGATTGAAAAAGGCTCTTGGCTCTCAACTAGATTAAAACATGGCATCAATGCATGAAGTCTCTGACTGTTGGTCTCAGCCATGTGGGGGGATGCAGACTGTGTGGTTGGGGTTGGCGGGACAAGAGAAACCAGTGGTTGGAGATTGACTGTAAGTGATCACATGGCTGAGAACCGATGTCAGTGATGCAGATGTATCCCCACGCACATTATCCTCATCCTAAAGACGCTATACCAAATCTCACCATTTTCTCACGCTTCCTTTCTCGCTTTTAGTACTTTATATTTCCTTTGACTGAATTTTCTTTTTTCATCTTCCACTTCACTGCTTTTCTACTTGACGTACTGATATGAGGTGTTGAAACTCGAACTGTTACGCAGTAATGCCTAGTCCTATATTGATATTGGTGATGATGATTCATGTCTTCCTGAAGTTGACAAGGTAAACAGTAACATGAAATGGGGAACGGTAGCAAGCCCTGAAGGATAGTAATGCAAGACTAACAATTAGATCCACTGAGGGGCTAAATCATGTGAAAAAATCAGGCACAATTTTGTGGGACATAAACATACCACCACCTAGAGGTAGCGTATCCCCTTTGTTAGTTTTTCCAATTGTCCTGATTTTGGTCATTTTTGTATGTTATTGTAAATCTTGACTACTTTAATCAACGGCGCTCTGAAAGATATTTCACGTTCTCCCAACTGTTTACCATTATTACTCACTGAAAAGAGAATCTAGCAAGCATACTACTTTTCTCTAGGCTTTTTTTTATACACACTAAGGTTACATTATATGTTACCACAGATATAATCAGAGATGGACTATCTTCTTTAAATTAACGGGGAATTTATTTCACTCCTTAAATTACCCGCAGTAAAAACGCTGGGGAAAAAATTGCTCCTCGAATACTTTGCTTGACAATTTGAGAATGCTTAGCATGGGTGTCTAGCCTCCCTAGTGAAAACTTTTCCTTCACAATTGATTAATGTCGATACAACACCTGATGTCTCAGAAGGTGAATTAGCCTTGGTTAAGTGGTGGCCAATGAAATTTGAAGAGAGATACAAATGGTTCTATTGGTTCCCCTCAAAACACATCCCATTTGTGATGCTAACAATTTATTTAGACACTTATTAAAGGCTGAGTGTGAAATCGTGTAGTCAGTATAGACTTTAAATGCTAAGTGCTAACTTAGTAAAGTGGTTCAGCATCTGAAGTAATGAACCTTCATAGGTAGGTAAAATAAGTCAGGTATACCAAATAGTGTTAGAAGCGTAAAGATAAGGCTGTTGAAAAGTTGAGAACGATTAGACAAAGATATGGCCTAACCCATGGATTTTTCAATTTTTGGGATTATGCTGAAAGGAATTGACTCCTGATATTAGGAGAGTAGGAAACACAGTGATAACTAAGATCTTCCCGGAAATTTTAAAGGGTGACTACTTATATTATCCCTAAGATGGTTAACCTGATCTAAAAAGAATGACTTTAAGAGCTCAACCTCTTCACTTAATCGTATCACAAACAGAGGAGATCTAACTATATTTTACGGGATTTTAAGAAATGACTTTAGAGATGATCTACCTTTTCTTTTCCTTCCTACTAGATCAGAACAAATTAGAGAACACAGAAGGAGAGTAGAAAAAGCAAAAAGTTAATGTTTTCTCTGTAGATTGCTGATTTCCACATCAAGTAGCCAACTCTTGGAACTGATTCAGCATATTTAAACTCTTGGATACTTCAGAAATCTTTTCTTTGTTCACACACATCCAATTTTATATTAGTCATCTTTTATCCACTTTCTTTTACCACCGTCTTGTAAAATGATGTTACTTGAACAGATACATTTCTGTATGAGGAGTTACGTCGATATGTCAGTTTTTATAGGACAGAATTTATCAAAATGCGGAAAATCCACGTACGTCTTATATGCATCTAAATCTACGCAATGTTTAAATTAAACACCTTTCTTGCTCTTATAGCAACTTTGTTTGATACCTTTCAAAATGATTTCTTCGTTACGTGATATAATTATCTGAATTTTCAAATTAGCTAGAAAAACACATTGTCTTTTCGCAGATTATCGAAAATAGCATATCCACTAAGCCAATGGAGCTTAGTGGATAACGTTTCAGGAGTTAGGAGCGAAGGATAGTGTGTTCCAGTCTTAATGGGAACAATACCACTCACTAGAATACAGGCACATCAAACTGGATTCCTCTGATAGTCATCAACATCAATATAACATCATGAATATTCAACAGTATGGAGGCATCCGCATAGGAGCCAATCCGCCAATAAAGGTTGAGCGACTCGGCCTTGTATAGCAACGGGAAATCACAAGTATCATAACAACAGTTTCATTAGATTTACCGTCAGATCGAGTTAACACTCTTTCAACGCAAAACAACACCAAAAATAAGTAAAACCGATAGAGTATTTGACTCACCTTAAGATTTGCCTTTCTTACAGCATGGTGTAAATCATTCGTCACACCATATACAGTGATATGTGGAGGTGGTCGGAGACCTGGAGCAGGTTTCCCTAGTGAACAAACTATGCAGTTGTTTGCACGTCGAAACTCGGATACAAGTAAGTCAATACCCAAATACTTAGCATTTGTCCCGTTGACCTGAAAAGGAGATAAACAACATCTCAGATAAAAATCTCCAGAGAGTATGATTTGAATTCAAGTAAATTAGCGAAAATTTCCTGTGATTTTACACTAACTTAAGGTTACCACACAAAATGATATAATCGATACACATGATAAAGCAGCTGAAACCTATCATTCTCTAATTGGATGATGTTTAAATTTCTGAATAATACAAACTAAAAAAGTAAGCACACTAATATGCCACAGGATAAAATGATACCTCCCGAAACAGAAGGATCATCTGTAGAGATAAAGTGCACATGCGCTTTATTTACGATGTCACCGGGTTATGTATCTTTAAATGACTTAGTTAAAAACCGATCGCAGTAGTGTAAATATGTTGATGACTCACTTTCTTCCAGACAGTAATATCATATATCTTAACTTCCTTCAATCCCTTTTCTTCTCAAAATCGATCTGCATGGCACAGATGTTTTCACACACTATCTTCATATCCATCATCATAGTCGGTTTCAGGATTCTCATTCCTTCTTGCTCTCTTTTCCTGGCTTTTTACCACTTCCAACTGCTTTCTTTCTTATCTCTTCATCTTTCAACTTAATGAATTCTCACTTGATAGGCTACCATGAGGTGTGGTAACTTAGGCAGCAATGCCAAGTCCTATGCTGACATTATATTTGTCTGTCTTACGTTTTAAGAGTACAAGGCCATTTCGAGCGCAGCTCAATAATGAGAATATTAAGGCTGCTTTCACAAAGGGAATGGCTAAGTAGTTGTCAGGACAGAACAATATTATTCATCTTGAAGCCTGGTTCTGCCTCCATTCTGGTGTAAAAACAGCGTTAAGGAAAGTAACTGGTCAGGAGAAAAAGGATAGAATGCATTAGTAGATCTCAGAAACTTCTAAAATTAAATAATGCATATGAAGGTATCTTGACGAGCTCAAAGCATAATGATGAGCGAAAGCAACTCAAATGTAAACTGAAGAAGAGTCCCCAGAATGACAACGAGCAGTGGAGGGCAGCGAAGGCTGCAGAGATAGTAAAGGCAGTGACAATAGGTAATGGCAGACACCTGCTTAGACTAATCAGAGAAAGTGAAACAGAAAGCTTGTTGGTTGGTGAGATGGGTCTCTGATTCATTTATAGTGAGGACGACTAGGGTGATGTTTGGAACACTGGGGAACCGTTAAATTGGCCTCCAGCTCGTCTGGTTGACTGCTATCTAGTTATATCTTGACTGCAACACTGCAGGAAATGCTTCAACTCTCGCAAAAGTTGAGAAGCCTGTAACAAACCAGAAACGAGGAAGAGCAGAACAGTCAGATGGATTAGTACTGGAGGTATTTAGGGACTGTCATTGTAGATTATTGGTTGGGTCACATGAAATGCCAGCTAGCGTATGGGAATCACATATCCATTCTGAGTGGTAACAACCGCTGATTGTCCTAGACTTCGGGGAAGGAAAAAAATATTGTTGAGGTAATCACGAGCGAATCAGTTTGACGGAGTGTCTAAGATTCTACGTTCTATAACCGTCAGCTGGCTAAATTAAGCTTCGGAACAACAAATCAGAAGCAAAACCAGGCAGATTTCAAACAGACAAACAAAATCAACATAGAACCTCATATACAAGTGGATCGGTTCACGTTTTCACACTTCATAGTAGCATGCAAACAATAAGTTAGGAAAAAGAGACTGACATGGAGGTAAACAACAGTGAATAGGATAAACATAAATTTTGAAATCGATGCTGGTGAAAATTCAGAAGCTCTAAAAGACATCAAAGAGTGGATACATTTACGCCTCTGTGATCGATCTCCAGCCATTTCACCACAGGTCTCCAACTACTGATTCTTGTCATCTCAAGGACCCCAGCCAGATAGTCTACACTTACCTAGACGGTCTCAACCGTCAGAGACTTTATAGATTGGTGCCACTCCTTGGTCTGATCACTAAGCCTTCTTCCAATCCAACCCTACTTCAGCTGACACTGTACAGTGAAGTGGGTGGTGGCTCGGCGTGCACAACACCGGTGCCATCCACCTCAGTCACTGAAAGTCAACAACCTCATTAAATGACATGCCATCCTTACCCAGTACTCTTTTCCCAGCCTCAGGATCGCTCACATGGTGATCCCATCATACGTGAACAATGCTGTGGAACCACCTATATTCGAAAACCAGTAGTTTGTTCAAATATACTTTTAACGATTGTCTTACAGCTACGTAGCAGGAGTGACCGGACTGCAGAGTTGCATACTCAGATGTTTTGATCAGATATTCACCCTCATCCAAGGCCTGAAACACAGGCATATACCGACGCCAATACTAGCTGTATGCCTTGACCTGAAAGCGTCATTCGACTCCGTCATTTGAGAGGTTCTATGGTAATTTCACACTGAAATGGGTCCCGAGTAAGTACAAAACCCTGTTGAAGGCCTTGCAGTCGAACAACTGAGGACGCATTAGTGCGAGTAGTCAACTGTCAGGTGAGGAGTGTACATCGATTGGTGTTCTTTAAGGATGTAAAATCTTTACATTCTTATTCAGTTTTGTTATACACGCATTTGTGGAGGTCTCCCTCTCGTCGTGTAACTTCACACGGACTAATCTGATCGCAAGAGAATCTTTGGTATATCTAGAGTAACCAGACGACATAGTTCCGTTGGGTGAAGATGCTGGCAAGATGCAGTCTTCTTGACACCTTAATCAGCAATTTGAGAACCTTTAGGATACATTTAGAGATAGGTTGGAGAGGAAATCCAGTTAGTGAGGTTGTGAACGTTCGTCGACAGAGGTTATTCGAACATGCATTTCGCATGCTTAACCAACGCCAATCCAGATGACTGGTGTTAGTCAAAGTAAGACTAGGTTAGGAGAAGAATGAAAATGGCCAAACCAAAACGTGGCGCCAGTCGATGAAGTCTTTGATTGTTGAACTGATACGTGTAGTGTGTTGAGGTTCTCGATGTGATGGTAATCAATGGTTAGACACTTGGTTATTTGGTTCAAAACTCCTCACAATGATGTAGATTTATGCACTCTACCACTTTCAAAATTTCGAGATTTCTATGAAGTTTTATCTATTTACACTATCTCTTCTCACATACTTTTGACATTTTATGTCACTTTTTCTGTTTACTCTTCTATGTCACTGTGAAGTATGGTAATTTAAGCTGATAGACTTGTGTGACAAGTCCAATGATGATTTTTCGCCTTCCCTCATTTAAATATTAGTACATTAGCATCAAGGTGATCTGTCATGCACCTCTTGGTGTAAGCAGTCGATTTTTAACCGATTGCTTGTAGATCCAAACCTGGGTAGCCAGGCAGTATTATTAGTTACTCCATGAGTGGTTCATCAGTTAGTACCTGGGGCAGTTGCGTTACACTAACAAATGTAAGTTTCTTGCAACATAGACAAAATCTTCGTAGACCCTAACACACATGTGCATCTGTTCAAGTTGTCACACTCCACAATAGTACACAAAGAGCAAGTACGTAGAAAAAGTTATAATAAAGTAGAAAACGTTGTGTGAGATAAAGGTTAGTGTGAATATTTAAGCTTTGGAGGATGTCAAGGAGTGAACACATCTGTACCACCGTGACCGATTTTCAGCCATTTCACTAGGAGTTCATTGAAAGTGGAAGACATGAGAAGGTTACAGGTATTTGACCACCGTTGCCTTCGTAGTATAGGACGTATTCCGTGGTGTCATCATGTGAGTAATGCAGAAGTTAGGTGTAGAGTTTTAGGGAGAAGAGGTAAGTCAGTTGACGAGGTTGTGAACCTTCATCGACTGAGATAGCTGGTTGGGACACGTACTACCTATGCCTAGTCACCGATTGCCTCGTCACACAATGTTGGCTCAGGTGGGTTCAGGCTGGAAAAACGACCAACGTGGCCACACTAAAACATGGCACCAATGTATGAAGTCTCTGACTGTTGGTTTAAGCCATGTAGGACGATGCAGACTAGGTGGTTGGGGTCCACGGGACAAGAGGAACCAGTGGTTGGAGATCCTAGGTGATATGGCTCAGAACCGAAGTCAGTGGCGCAGATGTATACACACATTATCCTCATCTTAACAACGCTATACCGAATCTCACTATTTTGTCACTCCTCTTTCCTTTCTTCTCATACTTTATATTTCTTTTGACTGCATTCACTTATCTTCATCCTTCACCTCACTACCTTTTTACTTGATGTGCTGATATGAGGTGTGGCAACTCGGACCGTTACGCAGTAATGCCTGGTCCTATGTTGATAATGATGATGATGACTAGGAGTTCACAATCACTGATCCATTCGTCTCGAGAACCGCAACCAGGCACTCCACATCGAACCACATGGCTAATATCAATAGTCAGCGACTTCATCAACTGGTGCCACGTCTTGGTCTTACCACCCTCAACCCTCTTCTAACTTAATTCGACTTCTCCCGGCATACCATGTCGAGGCAGGTAGTGGCTCGGTATGGGCAGTACATGTCCAAGTCATCTCAGTCGATGAAAGCTCATAACCTCGTCAATCGACTTGCCTGTACTGCCTAAAACCCTCCACCTGACTTCATCATTGCTCACACGGTGATTCCGCCAAACGTGAGCAATGGTACGAAGATACCTGTGATGGAAGCCGTGTAATCGCTTCATGTCTTCTACCTTCAATGGCCACTTTTTACAGCTATGTAACGAGACAGAACGCACTGTAGTGAAGTATACTCGTCTTTTGATAGTCCGATATCTCATCAGTCGGCTCCATAGATGACGCAAGTTGACAAACGCTAAGCAAACGTTTTGTATCCGATTTGAGATTTTATCAGTAACCAGCTTGTTCGAGCTGGTCCAACTCCCCAAGTAAGTGAAGTGGTCGACACATTTCACTACTCCACTTCCTCCAATTAAAGTCGAATTACTACTAGCAGTAAATCAGTCTTGAAGCATCACCTTACATCTGACAGGAGCGAAACGCATACCAAACACTCAGTTTTTCTAAATGCAATTAGATGACCCTGCATTTTGTCAGTGTCCTCACCTAGCAAGACAATTTCGTCTGCATACTCCAAACCAATCAGATGGTCTCCAGGGAGTAGGTCAACCCATATGAAGTCAGATGTACCCCATTAATACACGTATGACGAAGTTAAATAGGAACGTTAACAGTAGATATCCCTGGCAGATACCACTAGTTGTCGTCAACTCACATGACAACTCTCCATAAGCCCTGACATGGTTGCGTGAGTTCGAGTAGAGAGCTTCAATTAGCGTTGTGCACTTCCTCGGCCCTCCTTTCACAGTGAAACGCTGACACAACTCAAGGACGACAGAGTCGAATTCCGCAACCGTCAGGTCAAGAAATATAGCAAGTGACAGCCGCCAGTAAGTACGCCTATGTTTCAGAAACTGCCAGAGGGTGAAAACATGATCGATGCATCCTCGTCCATGTGTGAAACTTGCCAGGTTTTCTCCAGTTTACTGTTCTCGAGGTCTAGTTAGGCTTCGGATAACTGTGGATCCTCGGATCTTGCACAGAATATTAACCAGACTAATTCCCCTGTGGTTGTCACAGGAAGACTTCTCCCCCTTCTGATAGACTGGGATGCTCAATGAAGTACTCTAATGGCACCACTTCTGATTCCCATACATTACCTAGTACCTCCCTCATTTTAATTACCAATTATCTACCTCTATCCTTGAAAACTCCAGGTGGAAAACTATCAAGTCCTGCTGCTTTGCATCGCTTCAGGTTCGACAGAGACTTCTCAACTTTTGGAAGAGTTGAAGGAACGACATCTACGTCCAATTCAGGTTCAGGCTGGATGTTGGGCAACTGAAGCGTTGCTGAGGGCCAGTGCAACTATGCTTCCAAGTGTTCTGCCAAACAATCTAGCCGCCTGTTCTAGGAGGCTATAAGTGTCCCACTCTTATCGGTGATGGTTTCACTCACCATCGTCTTCTTCCCAGTACCCTTAACAAGCCTAAATAGTTACCGAGTGTTACCCAACGCTGATGCATTCCCCATCTCTCTCGCTCTCGTCACCCGCCACTGCTCGTGATCGACACGAAGACTCTACGCCATTTTACGCCTAAGTTGCGTTTGCTCTTTATTGTGCTGAGTCAGTTGGAATTAGTCTTTTTGCATCAATAAGTTCGGATGACGTCACGGAAATCTACCAACATTCGCTAACTTTCGACTGTAGGTTACTAACTGTATTTAACGCTGTTTCTATAAGATTTAAAATTATACCAGGTTTTCTCTAGGTGAGCATTGCTGTCCCGCTCAGATGAATGCTTAGCTAAATCACCTCTAAACGCGTATTTGACGTTCTCATCTCCTAATCGACCATAGATATGCTTTACTATCGCCTGGTTCCTGTGATTGGTAAGGCGCAAACACATACGAGCCCCTACAAGCGCATGACTGGAGTGCAAACAGGTACTCCAGAAGCAGCGGCAATCCTCCAACGATGCACTCCAAAGACGGCTAGTAGCAATATGATTTATCTGTATCTATCGTTGATTTGAAGTTAGGGGGACGCCATGTGATAAGACAGTGTCTCTCTTTTTGCCTAAAGTCAGTGCTAGACAGAAACAAGTGGTTGCAGAAACAAAATTCCAACAAACGATCACCGTTCTCAGTTTGTCGATGAGATTCTGTAACTACTTCCAAGATGCCTTTCTGAATGGCTCAGCTTACTTACTGGAGCGTTGAAGTTGCCTGCCACTATGATTATATCTGAACGTTTTGACTTCTGCAGCAAGGTTGACAGTGTAGGCGAAGATCACGAATGGGCATCGCCTAGTCTCACGATCCTTCCTAGTCCTAACAAATCCACTCACTCGAACACTACATAGACGGCTGTTTACTGGTATCCAGCCAAGAAGCGTACTTTTTGCCCTACAACTCGATGCTGTACCTACCCTACCTGGTTAATGAGAGGTAGCCATTGCGTTTCCGGATACTCTTAAGGTGAATTCTGAAGATCTACTGCACAAATCAGGTGACATCAATGTAATAACCACACTCGGATCCTGTGTGCGTGTCTAAGAGACACAACACACATCCATGGCTAGATTCCCGAGTTCTGGCGAGCGATGCTTGCTGTCCGATTTTTCATAGACTTGAGACGTTGAAAGCCCCTACGTGAAGTCGATGACGGGGTCTTAGGAGACTAGGAATGAGGTCCCTATGGCAGTGATCGTTGGCAATAATTGCAGAGTGAGATGTTGGGTAGGGCATAAGAGGTTTAATATTAGTATCAGGAGGTGAAAGCAAAGGAGACAGAGTTGAATGCGATAGGTTATGTTTGATTGGGTCTTGTGCATTAGTGGAAGCGTCCGGGTGGTTGATACTTCCCGGTTTTCTACACCGTGGGAGGCTATTTCTTCTTAAGGTATCTGACAAAGAAAAAGACTTGCGTGACCGCAGAGTCTGTAGGACGTCTACTTGGAGTCTGCCACAACCTTTTGTGGGTTGCTGTTTTCAGGATTGGTTGTTCTAACGCCGGACAGAAAAAACCCATACCGCCGACACCGGAAGACCGTGGGGCAAGTGCAGTATTATTTTCGGGGCCAACCTCTTCTAACTACATCCTTCCCCTTTAGAAGTCAGCATCAGCGTGGCACTGCTGGTCATCCAAGGGAAATACCTTACTGCTGTCACACCCAATCCAGCTAGCAGCAGTACCACTTTGCCCTCATATCCCCACCATAGCGTAGCAATGTAGCTGCTTTTTGTCTAACCACTATCCAACAGATCTTTATGGCATGGTAGGTCCCCGAGGGGACAAGTGTTCCACCAGCATAGCTCGCTGGGTCATTTTGATATACAAGCACGACCACCACGTCAAGGTAGCAGCTATCGGTCGGGTTGCTACATAGAATTATACACTTCTACGAGTTTGGACTTCACAAAGCTCCGTCATTGTGAAATGAGAATTTCATTCTGTGGCTACTTTTGCTGTGAAATAACAAAGTATGCCAAGTATTTTATATTTGGATTGCTAAAAACACCTTTGAATTAAAAGACCTGTCAAAATGATTCTCCAGCAGATCACCTTCAAAGAATATGTCATTATGCGCCGAATGTATGTAAATATAACCGCAACTCAGAATTGTATTTACACATAATCTTCTGAAGGTGATCTACTGGAGAATTATTTCGAAAGGTCTTTGTAATTCAAAGGTATTTATGGCAATCCAAACATAAAATACTTGTCATACTTTGTTATTTTACAGCAAAATTAGCTACAGAATGAAATTCTCATTTCACTATGTCAAAGCTTTGAGAAGTCCAAACTCGTAGAAGTGTATACAGACACTAAAAATTCTAGTCACCTATCATACATTGCTTACCATCGCAGCTGTACATATTGTGTCGTTGCTAGCGAGCCTAAATGCATCAATTCATGCACACTGTTTCATGCTGGGCTATTATTCACACAAGAGAATCAGGTTTAGTGACCATCGCATAACCTATAACTACAGGTTCTGATGAAATACTTGGTTTAACCAAACAGCACAGCAATTCCATGGAAGAATAACAGAATGTTGCAGAAAATGACACAAAAGGTAGGTTTATTAACTTCATAAACCATCTTCATAAGTCCCCACATCACTTAATATCTCAAGGTTACCAAGCCCTAGAAACTGGAAACAAGACTATTTGACAACACAAGACAGTAAAAAAAAAACACTCAAACTCTTGCTGCGGAAACTGGTAAAACCAAACACTTCCTAACAAAACATATTGCAAAAATAATAACCGCCATGATCAACAGTTGCAAATACAGACTGCTTCAGCAGCCACTTACGCACCAATTACTCACACAGGACATATTCCGTGGTGTCATCATGTGAGTAATGCAGAAGTTAGGTGTACAGTTTTGGGGAGAAGAGGTAAGTCAGTTGACGAGGTTAAGAACCTTCATCGACTGAGATAGCTGGTTGGGACACGTACTACCTATGCCTAGTCACCGATTGCCTCGTCACACAATGTTGGCTCAGGTGGGTCCAGGCTGGAAAAACGACCAACGTGGCCACACTAAAACATGGCACCAATGTATGAAGTCTCTGACTGTTGGTTTAAGCCATGTAGGACGATGCAGACTAGCCGGTTGGGGTCCGCAGGACAAAAGGAACCAGTGGTTGGAGACCCTAGGTGATATGGCTCAGAACCGAAGTCAGTGGCGCAGATGTATACACATTATCCTCATCTTAACTACGCTATACCGAATCTCACCATTTTGTCACTCCTCTTTCCTTTCTTCTCGTACTTAATATTTCTTTTGACTGCATTCACTTATCTTCATCCTTCACCTCACTACCTTTCTACTGGATGAACTGACGTGAGGTGTAGCAACTCGGACTGTTACGCAGTAATGCCTGGTCCTATGTTGATAATGATGATGATGATGATGATGATACGCACCAATAATCTGAATTAAGGCGAACTAGAACTTGAAATATCCAAGTGTTTCGAAAAAGTGCAACAAATAAAAAGGTAGGTGAGGAGCAACAGATTATCCTCTTATGATTGAATGAATGAAAATCATTAACAGCTAACTGAGAAAATGTGATACCTCAGCCTATGCTTACTTAGCAAGTAAGGTCACTGAAGTGAGGTTTTCATTTTTCTACTTAGATCTGAATGTGGCAAAAGCAGTTTTTCCTTAAGCAAAACGAGCATAAGACCAATAATGATCATGAAAATACTGAAAAACCACAATAGTTTAAAAAATACCTGATAAAACCCATCCGACAGCTCCTCAATTGGGTAGTGATACAGTTGCTGATTGTAAATCACACTGAGAACATATTTGTGGGTTGATGTGCTGAACCTTATTAGGAACGTTCCATTAAGAGAATGGTGTTTCAGAAGTCTTTCAGTGTCTTCACGACTAATGTTCCCGTGAAACCAGTGACCAGATGGAACCGCTTCCGGTAAATCAGCTGCCGTTTTAGCAGGCATTCTTGGAGCAACAAGTTCGAAAGGTGATAGCACAACAGATGATGCTGTGATTGGAATCGGTCTGTGAATCACACGAGAAGCAGGCTGATTTTGCACATTAAAACCATCGTTCACTTGTTTTCGGTGTTGTGGCATTACAGAACAGCTCTTGAGAAGGATAATTTAGACCCAAAATTCCAATTATTTGACATAGCCGCATAAAATCCAGACAAATCTGAATAAGTAAACTGCGGTCAGCCCGCCATAAGTTGCCTTTGGCCTTGACTGTCTAGATGAAAAAGTAAAACACACAACAAGAGGAAATTCAGTAAACCAGTATACCGGTCCTTGTCTTTAACTAAATTCTTTTTAATTTGAGTCTTTTTTCATGAGAGATATATTTCATGCATATTGGTTGGAAGTAGAATTTGTGGCTATTAATGATCAAGCTTATTATTGAAATTAAAGTACGGCCTACATCTCTGTTGAGTCTATAGTGGGGCTGCGAACTGTTCAGAAAATACTCAGCTCCTATATTTGATTTGTATTGGTCACGTTCCTCAGAGTGAAAATGTCGCTAGCATTCGGGAAAACCAGACTCATAGTCCAGTGACGTAATTTGTCCCCAAAAAATAGCATACGCTGGTAAGGTTTTATAAATTGGTCATATGTGTGTTCAAATCTTTATGACATAGTCAACTATTCATCATTAATTAGCCGACTTTATTTGTGAAGGTGTAGTCATTATGATTGTGCTTAGATAGCATGAGCAAACACGTCTGCAAGATGTAGTTGGAATTCAAATGGATGTAAGAAGAAGTAGCAAGCATGACTATGTATCACTAGTGTGGGTGAAGATGGTTCTTAGGCAAATAAATGTTTCACTCTCACATTAAAAAGTTTAACATGAGGGAAGCCAGTTTGCAGCCATCGTCACGTTGATGCACCTCAAAATATCTGCAAGACTTTAAGAGTCCATATTGGTACAGACGAAACGCTATCGGACTCTATTTAAAGCAACCAAAGATCCTTCTAGTCATGCAACGAACAAGGAAATATCACTTTTCAGCATATACAGAGGTAAAGCTTAGATATTAATAAATATTATCCTCATATAACGGGTTTGACGTGAGGGGTACCGGTTTACAAGCACCGTCAAAGTCACAATTTTTGGAAGTTTACGAACCGGCATTCAGTATTAAATAATTCATATATCAAGTCATTAGTGTGCATAAGCTTATTAAAATTTGCTGAAATTCATGAGGCGGGCATGAACTTCCATCTACCATTACATAGATATGTTCCACTACCAATATCAGAGGCGTGCCGTGTTCAAAGTTTGCTTTGCAACCAACCAACGTTGTTAGTCCATCCGCATAGTTTGTTACTTAGTAGTATAATGGGTTGTTTCTTAGAGTGATCTTCAGTCTTTAGGTTTGTTAGCCACCAAAGACCCATCTATGCAATCTGGAGCATCGATAAAGTATCCACAGTTATATAACCAACGTGTACGTCTATATCAATGCATTTCCAGGTCACCATGACGCGTTTAAAGGTGACAGAAGTCAATTCAACTAAGAATATTTGTCTTCTTGGATGGAAAAGGACGTTGAAATGATCGATAGTCCAAATTGCGGTATTTATACAAGACTTCGGGCACCTTTTGTATTAGAGTAAACAGCATCATTCAAGAGGTATATTTGTTGTATATTAACTTTAATATGAAAAGGTCACTTGATGCAGAGTGCAGGAAAATATTTAGTATGGAGCTACTGTAGGTAAGTAGTGTTCCAAGCCAATAGTTAAACTGATCGCTGGTTTGATCATCTGTTCAGAATGTCTCTGCTACTGATACTAGTAGGAAAGTTTAATCCGTTTGTCGCAGACGAAAAATCGTGACCAATAGGTTATTCAACCATGAGGATGGTCCAGAATTCGCGAAAGAGTCGGAGCAGTCCAATAGTTATCGGCGCCAATAAACAGGTATCATTTCCACAAAGTAATTATGTTCAGACTGAATTTGAGCATCAAATGTTGACACGGAGCTGTTTCTGCAAATGGCGTTTATTTTTTTGTCACTCTGAGAAGGTAATGGTTAATATTCTAAGTGTTCTTATTGTAAGTCTATTACTACTTGCTCATGGTCATCTCCACTGACAAGGGAAGGTAGGCGGGCGCCTAATGAAAAATCTCAATCATAAGGATATGCAAAAAACAACTCAAAATATGTCTGACCTAAAAACCAACTGCTAACTTACTTTTTGTGACATATTAATGCCTTTCATGAAACAAAGCTTGCATCAACATATTTAATTTCTGATTTGTTTCAGCCACTTCTGTGTGGTGCTTATTACTCCCATGACCTCACTAGGTCTTGCGAGTAGTTGTTACGGTAATGTGAATGGTTTCTAGGAGAAAAGTAAAACGTCCAAAAGGGAAAAACCTGCTGAAATAATATAAAACAGCAGCAGTTATCGCTTTGACGTAATTTCAGTACTACCTACTGAAGAGCTATAATGGCAAATAGATCTTCAGTGGGTGAATGCCCTTGCACCATAGTTGTATTTATGAAGGTATCAGTGGAGTTCAAACATTTGAACTACGGCCTTTGTTCGAAGCAAACTTCCATCCACTAGCCTATCGTAATCATCCTGAGGTACTGGCTGCCCGTTGGTACATTTTGAACTTCGTGGCAAAGCGACCAAAAGTCCTGTCCGAACTCTTATTAATTTTACACTACAGACTCCGAAAAGTACTTGCGTCATTATGCTGACCACACCTTTGACTATGAGTCAATTTTCGACTTCCACCAAATAAAAATATTTTGAGATGCACATTGTTCTCTCTTGTCGCATAATTTCGGACACTGGTGTTCACAAGAAGTATTCCGGGGCCCCAGAGCTTAGCATGGCTCCAGTGTTTTACGGCTGCACTTACAAAATCATCTTGCTTTTTTATGCTATTTTCAAAACAGACAGGAGGCTTCGTCGCCATACTTGCGCCCTCCTCTCCATTTTAAATGGACGACATTTCAAGTGTCTACTGAGCTTTATTTCGGTTTTTACAGTCAACACCATCAAGCTGACTGCAGCGTTATGTAGTTTCCGATAAAATAGAATATTATTCTCACGAAGTTCTCCCAGGTTTTTAGGTTAGCTGCATGAAATCATATGACAACCGAAAACTTCATCATGTGTGAGAGCGCTGGACACATTTTTTAGTTGATATAAGAGTGGTCTTAATCCACTTCACCTGAGTCGTCACTGTCCTACATTGTATATAAATGGCAGCACTCTTAGCGGCACTAATCGTGATCACAAGCGCCGTGGAGATTGTTTGCCACCTCAAATAGGATTGAAGGTGATATCTTCAATGGTCCGTCGGACCCACTCTGGGTCATTATAAACGGTACTAACTACAAAATCCTCATAGTCTGTATCTACAAAGCGCCATCTTCGACAACAAAAAGTGATGAACTGATGGCTAGATCATTTGCCCATACTCGATCCCTAGCTGTTGACTTCAAACTGCCTGCAAGTGCCTTCAACTTCCCTGAGGTTAAATGGAGGGCCGGTTGCAGCCCAAAACGATCTGGTGGAGTGCTTGCCGTCATAGATGTCTATGGCTGTAACCAATACGTCCGGAAACCTAAGCGTGGAGACAGCATACTGGACCTAGCCTTTTGCCTTGACATCATCCCTGTCACCACCTACGTTAGTAGCGAACTCTCTAACAGTGACCATAGGATGGCTTTCTGCTAGTTACCGATTCTCCCTACCATCAACAAAAGCTTGCAATCTTCGAATTATACTGGACATCAAAACTGCAAGAATACAGAACGGAATTGCTGACAGTGATCATGCAATCCATGGGGCGATTAATTTACCACGGCCTCAATAAAAGACGGATTCAGTCTCCCACAGAAGTATAGAGTCATATCTAGATATTGTTGCTACTGGGAAGACAGTTAGGATGTATATGGGGAAAGGCCACACTGTCATGACAAATTCACTGAGTAGCGTGTGACAAAGATGCGAATCTCCAGAGTTCCCAAATCCAAAGCGAAACCAACTAATCCAAAACACTTGGTTGCCAAACAACAAATGTACATTCAAGTAATAATAATAATATATTTCATACAACAAAGGTTACATGAATACAAACCAGTTTACAGGTTTGATCACTTTGGTAATGAGAGATGACTATTATGTACAATGTTATGCTATACATTAGATGCTGTGATTTATGGCATATAGGAGGCATGTTGAAGCAGGCTCAGTTCGAATTTGAAGATTATCCGGTCATCGTTTGAATCATCCAATATTCTTGAAGGTGAGGCCGCATCACAGTCATGACCTTGGGTGTGCGCGTTCGTCATCAGGTTTTGATGGCAATATTTCCCGCTGACGAATGCGATTTGTAGGATTCCATTTGAATGCAGGACTGGTTAAGTAAATCTGAAAAGTGAATAACAAAAGCGAGCAGCAGGCGAAATTTGTAACAGGAGCACAAAAATACGCAGGAGTAGATCGACCATGATACATCTGGGTGAGTTTGTACTGACTATTAAACTTACTTGAGGAAGTGTCCAGAACCAACTGTTTAGAGGTAAGCTTAGGTGGAAGAAGATGAAGGTGCGCACGACAGTAATGAAAGTCAGTCTGAAGCTGAAGATATCACTACGAAATAGAAAGATTAGAGGATATTTGACCAGGTATTAACTTGTTATATACCTATGTACAAGCGTATGATGAAGTTATAAACATTTAGGTGAAATTCGTGGTTTTTTTTGTTCTTAGGACCACCACCCTTTATCTGGTCACGAGGGGGATGATCATGGTGTTGCCTGTTGAGCATTACCATATCGGGTCTACCGAAACTATGTTGGTGCAGAGTACTTAGATGTAAGTACTGATGACAAAGGGCAAATAATAAAGAGTTGCATGCTATGAAAATGCACCGACAGACAGTTCTTTTATCTTTTCGGAGTAGAGAGATTACTTTAAGGGGCGATTTTTAGGAAATAGGTGTTAAGTCGTGAGATCGGTTAGGTTGTGAAGAAAAGTAGGTTACATTTGAGTATCTAATAAGTTCACTGTAGCATATCGTGTCGCACTCCGCTTCCTGTTCACTCTTGGTCATTTTTTTTCTAAGAAATTAGATTTTAACTTAACTATTGCGTTTAGTTTTCGGCATTGTATACTTATGTCATTGCTGTTAGTCTCCCTTGAGTCTAGGTACCAGTAGTACCTTAGTGCATGGCATTACCGTTTGTGGT